TGGGTGGTGCCTGTGGTTTCACTTTCGGTGACACTGTCAGATTTATAACTAATGCATGAGCTTGGTTTTCACGAGCCTATGGCTAGTCACTCAAAAATTGAGTGCTTCCTTAAACACCCGATGGAACGCGTGAAATCCAGTGAGTGAACGGTAAACTACCAGTCCAACTACAGCAAGAATGTTTCAGTCCCAAATATTACAATTAAATAAATTTGCCGTGTTTTTAAACTGAAAGCCAGCTGATCTCTAGCCAGTTTATGTTCCCCCGTGACATTTGTGTTGTCTGAGGTTTTTTTTACCATGCTTACGTCGTCAAAATGCCTACGGACGAAGGATATGTTTGACCAAACTTCCTTGTAGTTCTCTACTTCATTAGTTTTCTGTAGGCGCATCGTTGATAGATTGTAAACAGAGACCAGGGTAAGAAATTATATCATCAGTGCAACTCTTCTGGTATATTTATCGTCCTATTAGTCTGGTATTTGACATGTGGCAGGTTTTCAAAAAATTCCAGGGGTGCCAATGTGACATTCTGGTGACGATAGAGCCAGGCTTGTCGGTCGTAGAACCAGTCCTCAGTGACATCTAGAACGTGGCTGTTGAGGTGCATAACGAACTTGTTGATGAACAGTTCAGGTGACTGCAGTCGGAAGGCGGGCTGCAAGTCCTCCAGGGTGGGAATGCAGACGAGGTGGCGCCATTTGCCGTGACATTCTGAAGGCCAGAATTTCTTCCACCGATTCACAAAGCCCTCGCCTCGTCTGTAGGCCTCGTCGCCGTCTGTGCACAGATAAAGTAGATAAGATAGCAGGTGAGTCGACGAAATGGCATGAGTCGTAAAATGTCCATTTAAATTCTGAATTGAATTTTCGATTCGACTTGGATTGGAATAATGATTATCGCAGTTAGGATACCGGCTTTAAAAGGGCCTTTTTTCAGACCGCCTGCAAAAAATAAACTGTAAAAAAGAACTTCTTGGGTAGTGCGATTTTTCTTTGATTTTTGATGCCCTTATAAATTAAAATATATTTTGCAGAAAACATGCCCGAAAGTATACTTCCTTGTACCCATTTCCTAGGGACATTCGCCTTAAAATTGCATACTTGAAGAAAGCCAAACTTTAGGCGTTTAAGTAGAACTGAAAGGGCTTTTTGCAGGCATTTTTGAGCAAGCCGGAAAATATACAACAAAGTGGCAATATGTTGCATCAGCTCACGAAAGCAAACCAAATAATTTGGGCTGAAATGAGGGTGAATGAAATGATCCCACTAAAGCCTGCCGGGGATTTAAAATGCAACCCCTGAGACCAGTTGGAGAAAACGGAGTCCTTGAGCTCTGTCGGGTAAACATTATTAATGCTTCCTCAAAATAGCATTCACGGACCTATGATGCGGTACTCCATTTGATCAGGACTAAAAACCTGGTCGACACAGAAGCACCTCCCGAGAGGACTACTGCGCCAGCGGGGGCTTGCTGCGGGCATGCAGATCAGCGGTTTGCGGACGCAACGTAAGAATTCCTAGCAGTAATCCGGCCGGATAGATGAACGCTAATCCCATATGAGTCTGTGAACCCTAGAAGAACCGTCGGTTGTTCTTAAAATACACGATAAGCACTACATATATACAGCCGCGTTGTGAATACTTCGTCTCTGGCTACTTATCTCTTTTAGGTGGGCATGTAATGCTCTTCGGTGACTGAACGTCTTAGTGTGCGTGGGTCGGAACAAGGGCCATTTGGGTTTACTCTAGGGGGGAGGGGGAGGTCATAGGCATACTGTGTTAAGGTCTGCCGCTGTTTAGATGGTTTTAGCGTTGCTGTTTGAGTTGTATTTCGTTCAAGTAGAGTTGGCGTAAACAGATGGGTTCGCTACAAAACTAAGGGCTGGGGTTACGGATGTTTCCTTTTTCAACCTCCATATTTTCCTTCTAAACAAAATTTTTTCCTCATCCATAAAACCTCTATTTGCCACCATTCCCGTAATACAGGATACTTTGCAGTAGCCCGACTGCGAGTGCAACGTTGAACCTCTCAGCTCTCGTGACTGCCTGTACGTGCCCACTAGCGTCTGCCAACACCAATCCGGCCTGGCCAATCATCCCCCCTGATGCCGACTCACACTTGACCTCACTGGAGGCGCTATCATGACTTCCGAGCTCTCGCGGTTGCGGCGTGCGCTCGTCCGGCTGTCAACTTCCTCCAAACTACTGTCTATTAGCTCTGCACAGAATACCCTATTCTTTTCAAGGAAAGGCGTCTTTTGGAAAAAAGGGGCAACAGTAGCTTATGTAGGCCCGGGTCATCCGGTATGGGCGCGGCTTTCGAATTTGAGCCACCCATTTTTTTTGCTCTC